CCCCCCCCCCCCCCCCATGCTTCTCTCTGGTGCTGCTTGCAATGGGAACCAGGAGGCTGTGGGGCGATTTGGGCAGCAATAGGGGCGCACTGCACGTCCTGCTGTCTGTAGGGCCGCCGGGATGAGCACAGCTGCCAGCCCTGAGCCCCCCCCGTCCCCCCCCGCACCCCGGTACTTCGAACGCTTCCCCGAAGACGACCCCGAATACCTGCGGGAGCGGAACATGGCAGCCGACCTGAGGCAGGACTTCAACATGATGGAGCAGAAGAAGAGGGTCACCATGATCCTACAGAGCCCAGTGAGCGGCGGCCCCTGACCCTAAAAATGGTCTCCTTGGCCCCAAACGGCCCTCCTGCCCCATCCCACCCTTCCTGATCCCAAATGTTCCTCCTGTCCCCATCTCAGCTTCATCCCATCCTTCCTGACCCCAAACGTTCCTCCTGCTTCTTCCCACCTTTCCTGCCCCCATCCGTGTCCCTTCTGTCCCCAAATGTCCCTCCTGATCCCAAATATTCCTCCTGCCCCATCCCAGCCCCATCCCTCCTTGACCCCAAACGCTCCACCTTTCCCATCCCAAACCCATCCCATTCTTCCCGGCCCTATCCGTGTCCTTTCTGTCCCCAAATGTTCCTCCTGCCCCATCTCAGCTCCATCCCATCCTTCTTGACCCCAAACATTCCTCCTCCATCCCACCTTTCCTGCCCCAATCCTTCTGTCCCCAAATGTTCCTCCTGCCTCATTCTAACCCCATCCCATCCCTCCTTGGCCCCAAATGTTCTTCCTGCCCAATCCCATCCTTCCTGACCCAAGATGTTCTTCCTGCCCCATCCCAAACCCATCCCATCCCTCCTGACCCCAAACATTCCTCCTGTCCCATCCCCTTCTTCCTGCCTCATCCCATCCCTCATAACCCCAAATGCTCCTCCTTTCCCATCCCAAACCCGTCCTATTCTTCCTCACCCCAAATGTTCTTCCTGTCCCTTCTGTCCCCTCTCATCCCATTCCTTCTTGGCCCCACGTGTTCCTCCTTTCCCAATCCAGCCCCATCCCTCCTGACCCCAAATGTTCTTCCTGCCGTGTCCTGGATCCATCATCCTTCCTGACCCCAAATATTCCTCCTGCTCCATCCCACCCCTCCTGACCCCAAATGTCTCCCCTGCTCCATCCACGCCTCTCTTGAACCCAAACATTCCTTTGACTCCACCCCATCTTTCTTGTCCCATCCCTGTCCCTTCTGTCCCCAAAAATCCCTCCTGCCCCAAAAGAAAACGCTGCTCTCTGCTGGTGCAGGGCATTTCCCTCCCATCTGGTGGTGTCACCATGATGCCACCACCATTCCCATGGCACCATGTTGGTGATGTCACCATGGTGGCACTTCCATCAAGTTGGCAATGCCACCGTCCCCATGGCACCAAGTTGGTGATGCCACCATGATGTCACCATCACCACGCCACCAAGATGTGATGTGATGTCCTCACAGTGCCATCGTCCTCATGGTGGCATTTCCATCAAGCTGGTGATGTCACTGCTCCCATGCCACCGTGTTGGTGGTGTCAGGATAGTGTCACCATCTTCATGGTGGCACTTCCCCCAAGCTGGTGATGCCACCAAGTTGGTGGTACCACCACGATGTCACCATCTTCATGGTGGCACTTTCCCCAAGCTTGTGGTGCCACCGTTACTACGTCCCCATCACCATGCCACCAAACCGGGGTGTCACCACGGTGCCATCATCTTTGTGGTGGCATTTCCACCAAGCTGGTGGTGCCACCGTCCCCATGGCACCAAGTTGGTGACGTTGCTATGATGTCACCATCTTTGTGATGGCACTTCCATCAAGCTGCTGGTGCTGCCATCCCCATGGCACCAAGTTGGTGATGTCACCATGATGTCACCATCCCCATGACAAAGTTAGTGATGATGCCACCACGATGTCACCATCCCCATGGCACCAAGTTGGTGATGTCACTATGATGTCACCATCCCCATGACAAAGTTGGTGATGATGCCACCATGATGTCACCATCCCCATGGCACCAAGTTGGTGACGTTGCTATGATGTCACCATTTTTTGAGATGGCACTTCCATCAAGCTGCTGGTGCTGCCATCCCATGGCACCAAGTTAGTGATGTCACCATGATGTCACCATCCCCATGACAAAGTTGGTGATGCCACCATGATGTCACCATCCCCATGGCACCATGTTGGTGACGTCACCATGGTATCACCACCACCTCAATGACATCATCCCTACGCTACCACTGCTTTCCCCAACCCCCTGGCAATGCCACCACCCATCCGGAGATGCCACCACCGTGGTGCCACCAAATGTCC